TTTTGTTTATCACTCAGTAATCGATCGGTTCAATCTTAAAAAATTGAACATTGATTTAATGCCAAGGTTGCCCATCCCCAACTACAATTCTGTCACTCCTTTTGTTGTACCACCAACGATAACGACTCTTTCTAGGGTGATCAATACCAGCAGCAATATGCCCATTAATGAAGAGATGTAGTCCTCGTTAAGAGCTGCTGCACTTGCTACTAGACATTCAAGCGAGAGGTTGGACAAGATGTCTGTCTCAGACTTCAGAGCCGTCTACGAACGGCCTCTTACCATCCTTTCTCTTTAGGCAGCTTGTTTGTGGTCCGCAACTAGTCTGCCTCATTTTGCTAAGGAAATAGTACAGCAATTTCCTATCCTCAAAAACCTACAAAAAGAGCTGTTTCTAGCTACTGAGGTAAGTACTGAATAAAGTTGGTATTTTCATACTTGTGGATTGTTCTGGTGTATTGTAAGTGGCTGTAAGTATTCATTGTCGCGTAATCTGTTGGGTTAGTCATTCAATACATTAAGAATAATTAAATAAATCAAATATATAGATTATAATAATTTACATGATTGGTTCAATTAAATTTTATTATGAATAAAAAAATAAAAATTAGTTGAATAGAATTCAACATACAAAATCACTCACATCATATATAAACGGTCTTCTTTTATCTTATGGAATATTTTCACTAAAACAAACACATAAAATTTGTATTTCAACTAATCAAAAATTTTTTAACTCTCAATATATAGATGTGGAATCCATCTTCTGTAGTTCACTTATAAACAAACATACACACTTATAAGACGTAGAACTCCAATACTCATGTGGGGTGTCTATCCCACAAAATCTTACAACTCTCTTACATCTTTTTCTCATACCTAACCCTGTATAGACTTCACCTATTTATAACTATACAAATTTGTCCATTAAGAATCTCTTTCCTCTTAGAATTCTTCTCCTGTAAATCAAACTTGTTTATTAAGAATCTTTTTCCTTTTAGAATTCTTCTCTTATTAGTCAAACTTACCTATTAAGAATCTTTTTTTAAAAAAATTTTTCTTTTGCAAGTCTTCTTGTCCATCAAGTAATATCTAACAAATCTCTTATAAGATTTGAGTCAATATTCCCAACAATCTTCACATTGACTCAAATTTCATCAATCATCTATCTTCATGCTAGATATGCTTGGCTCCACCTGAAATAAAAATCTCGCAATCATTTTCTCTTATGTGTCTTCACGTTTCATACAAACTGATCTTCAATCTTTAAAACTTGAATTCGAACTTTTCTCTTGAATCGAGCTCCTCTAAGCTTACTTTTTCTCATGTCTCAAACCAAGCTCTTCCCATATCTCGAACTGTCAACTTTCACAATGTCTCAAACCATCAGCTCTTCCCACATTTCGAACCTTCAACTCTTCTCACGTTTCGAACCTTCAGCTGTGATACCACTTGTTGGGGAACACCACAGCTCTGATACCATTTATTGGGCTAAAAGCCTCCAATCCAATCACACCAACAAAAGTGAAATCAAACACACAAGAGACAATAATTTAACGTGTTTCGGTCCAATCAACCTACGTCCACTGATGAAAAATAAGATCCACTAGTTGTAGAGAATTACAAACATACATCAAATCATCAACCTCACTCAACAATCAATACTCATAAGATACTCTTAATCTCTTCTAGTCTTATGGAGTATTCTCAATCAAAACAAACACAAATCTAAACCTTTGTGTACCCTTTCAACATAATCAAACACATTCCCATATGCTTCCATACATCATACCTATGTAGACCCTTTCAGTCTCCTCTAGTCCACTCACAAATAAACATACACACTCATAAGATATAAAAACCCAATACTCCTATAGGGTGTCTATCCCACAAAACCCTACAACTCTCTTACATCTTTTTTTCATACCTAATACTGTAGAGACTTCACTTATTTATGACCATACAAACTTGCCCATTAAGAATCTCTCTCCTCTTAGAATTCTTCTCTTGTAAGTCAAACCATACAACCCGATAATTTTTTTTTTATTTTTATATTTGAACTCGACCCGACTCAAAATTAATAAAAAAATTATTTTTAATATAAATATAAAATTAAATATATAAAAATATATATATATATAAATAATTATAAAATTAAATAAATAATTTAAAAAATTATTTATATATCAGATCGGGTAGGGTCGAGTTTGCCTAAAACCCGACCTCGACCCGACTTCGATTTTTTCTTCATATCATCCGATCCAATATTCAATTTAAAAAAAAATCGACTTTAAAAGATCGGATCGGATCAAAATCCGTCGATTTTGAATTTTTTTACCTTTTCTAATCCTATGGGAGGAGGCCCAAGCCATGGCAAATAAAGATACTTTGTTGCGTGAGAATGATGCCTAAGTTAAGGGCTCCGAGACCTAAACGCCACTCTACAGAGAAATGTAAAGGAGTTGGGGGCCCAGCTGAAGAGGCCTCTAGGAGGAATACTGTCATGCAGTAGTGCTTTGATGGTGCCACTTAGGGGTGTAAACGAGCCGAGCCGAGTCAAATAGTGAGAAGCTCGAGCTCGACTCACAACTCGAGACTCGATACTCGGCTCGAACTCGATCGAGTTTTATTTTTCAAGCTCAAGCTCGATTCGTGATCAAATTCGAGCTACTCGAGCTCGCTTGATTAAGCTCGATTAATATGTAAAAATAAGCTCGATTGTATACTCGACAAGAGTTTGATTATTCATGCTCGAATTCGAACTCGAATTCGGACTCGAAATATTTTATTAATTAAAATAATAAAAATATATTTAAATATAAAAGTTCGATTAGGCTCGCGAGCTACTCGAGTCAGATATAAGAATACTCGAATTCAGCTCGATCGATAAGTCGAGTTACTCGAGCTCGAGCTCGACTCGACAATAATTGAATCGAATTCGAGTTTTTTTCGAATCGAACCCGAGTAGCTTGCGAGTACTAATGTATCATTTTGTAACGCCCCCGATCCCACATCAGAAGGATGTGTGGATAAAGAATTATATATATATGTAGAGACTTAATCCCAAAATTGTGAGGCACCTTTTGTGGGACAAAACCGTGAGACCTTCGGGTCAAAGCGGACAATACCTCGCAGGTTGGGTGCGGGTCTCTATAAATGGTATCAGAGCAGTCACCAGTCCGCAGTCGTGGGAGTCATTAAGTGCTACACGGTGGAGCCGTGGGAGTCACTAAGTGCTACACGATGGTCTGGTGTGATCTTGATCCTGTGGATGGACTCGGCTTGACAGGGACGTCAAGCATTAAAGGTGGGGAGATTGTAACGCCCCTGATCCCACATCAGAAGGATGTATGGATATATAATGATATATATATGTAGAGACTTAATCCCAAAATTGTGAGGCCCCTTTTGTGGGACAAAACCGTGAGACTTTCGGGTCAAAGCGGACAATACCTCTCAAGTTGGGTGCAGATCTCTACACATTTACACCTCTAGTGCCACTGCTTGCTTTAAGGAAGTTAAGGAGGTGAAGACCAAACAGCAGGGCGAGCAAGTGGTGGCTACTACCTGTGCCAACCAGACAAAAGTAGAGAGGGATCAAAACTTGGCATGGGCACCGTAATTGGATTGGAGCTTGCAAAGTTAAAGGCTGAGCTAGAGACAGACTATGCTGAGTCCTCGATGAGGTTGGCCGAGTAAGAGAATGAGTGGACTAGCGTTTGCTTAGCCACTGGCGAGTAGTACAGGCCCTCAGTCATGTACCAAGTTCAACTGCAGCTACGGCCTTTGAACATGATGAAGGTGGACTCTTCAAAAATAAGGATGTCACTGAAGGAATTTAACGCGGAGTTCTCAAAAACCTTGACCCAGCTAGAGAGAGTAAGGGTGTGAAGGGATTGGCAGGATACTTCGGGGTCCTAACCTAAATGTTTTGCCTACCTAGGATGTCTTGGCGAGTAGTTCTGGGACCGAGCCTACCACGAATGTCTTGGAGAGGACTATTGTTGTTTTTGTTGTTTTTGTATCTTGTTTTGGGTGTCAAAATGAGATGCAAAGTTTTTTTTTGGTATAATTTTCAATTTCAGAAAAATAAAAGAGGAATTTTTTATTTTTAGTTAGTGTGGTTCTGTCTGGTGGTGGATTGAATCGATCGTGGGTTACAAAGGGGCTGGTTTCGGTGTCTATGGCAAGTGGTGGTAATGGATGTTAAGCTGGTTGCTGTTGGGTTTGTTGGTGGTGGATCTGTTGAGGTAAGATTGCAGTATTGGGGTGTTTTTTGGTGGTGGGTGTGGTTGCCGAATGGCAAATGTGTGATTTGTTGTTGGTGAGGGTGGATCCGAAGGCTGGCAAGTGTATCTGGTGATTGGTGGAGGGCAAATTTTTTCTGTAGAGGGTGGTCGTTGGAGATTGTGGATGCTGGGCCCTTGGGCTAGAAATTTTTCTGCGTGCCCCCTCCTCTTCTGATGTGAATTGTCATTTTGTGAAATGAAACCTTTGAGGCAGGACCTGTGAATTGAATTTCTCTTGGATTTATCCTTGTTGCAGCAGTAGTATTACTGAATTTTGGGATTTTTGTTTGTTTGATGAATTTGTGTTAGAGGTAAATAGGTGAAATGGAAGGTAAAAAAAACACGAAGAGCTAAGAATAGTGAGGCAATTTGGCGAGGGAAGGTTGCCATAGTAGTCGACTTTTTTTAAAAAATTTTTCTTTTTTTTTTAATAATAATTTTTATTAATTTAATTTATGATATTTGGGTTTTAAAATTTAATTTGAGCTCATAATTAGATTTTGAATTTTTATTAAATTTTCAAAATCAAATAATTAAATTTTGAATTGATCTAAAATTAAATTGAATTGATTTTAATTTGACTCAAGTAACGTGATCAAAAATAATAAATTTGAAATAAAATCAAATAAACTCAATTCAATTTAAATGTTTAAGCTGGTTCAAATCAAACAATTTTATACAGACTCGAACAAAATTAAATTTTTCCGATGCCAACATAAGTCATATCACATAACCAAACCCACAAGTTTGACCCCAACACTTTTTATTTAAACCCTTAAGGAAAGACGTAATAAAAACCCACACGTTTAACTAAAAAAAAAGTTAAATTTCAAAAGCCCTAAAATTACAGCTTTGACCCGAATACCGTAAACCCCTCACCCTACTCAGGGTGGCCACTGCTGTTTCCACCTTTGTTGCCACCACCGGTTCCGCCAGCTTCCTTAGAGCGATCATCACCAGTACTACCGTCATGCCCTCCACAATTGCCACCATCTGCGGGGCGGCTCCCGTGAGATTGAGCGTCATTCAACACATCAGTAAAGTTCCTCATAGCTTCTTCTATCAAGCCCTTCATGGTTTCATCGTCAAGATCCTGAATGTTATCACCTCCTGCTAATTCAATGAAAAATACGTCCAGCATGTCATTAGTCAATTTCTCCATGGCTTTAAACTCTGAAAGCACTCTCTTCATATCTTCGAGTGCACTTTCCGCTGCTCTTAGCAATGACTTCATGGATATTTCCTCCTCTCGCATCCTTGCCAATTCAGCTTTCAAAGCCTCAAGTGCGTCCTGTATTGAGCATGCAAAAAGACTATGAATAAAGTTATATTAAAACAACCGAGAAGAGTAAATGTGATTATAAACAATAAAATAGTTGCTCCAATCGGAATAAACAAACGTAAAGAAGGAATGTCTGCAAAATTATATATAGAAACCTCGCCATCTCAGAAAATATTGAAAGATCAAGGAGTCTAAAATTGGATTTGAGAGTTTGAGAGAGACAAACGGGAGAGTGAAGGGATGGAAAATGCTCTTTGATGAATAGATCGGAAGGGGTTGTAATCGAATTTAAAGAGAAATAGTTACTTGGGCGCCTCTTTTGCAAACGAAGAGCAGGCCTGATAGAAGCTTTCTTGTTCCTAACATATATGGACGCGGAAATAACAAACCTCGTAAAATTGATTTTCACAAAAGCCAGCAGCTGTATATAGTGAATTTAGGGCCCCCCATCCACCCTTCTCTCTCCCAAAACTTTCAGAATATGATTTATTTATTTATTTATTTATTATTATAGTATAAAACTTGGGTCCTTTAATATAAAATTTGGCCTCACCTCTCTCAAGATTATGAAACACAAGTCCTTGAATTTTATATGTTCATTATTATATTTTTTTCACCCCATCAATATAACACTTGCTCCATCTCTTTTTTTCCCACACTAATAAGTCCATAAGTACAGAAAATGGAATCTAAATCTATAACAAAAAAAAAAAAAACACTGTAAAAAAAATTATAACCAAAGAATAATAAGATTTTAAAAAAATAAATGCTAAAAAAAAAAAAAATAGAACAAAAAATCCCATCATAGATCCAAATGTCGTCCCAAATCCCATTTCTATCTAAAAAATACAACCAAAAACAAATAAAAATCAAAGACTTTTATGATCTCGTATCGTTTTATTTATTATATGAAGTTTTTTGCCAGAATTTATTATACAAATTTATTAATTATTCTAAATATATGGCATTCATGGATAGGTTTTAGTTGTTAATTTTTACAGTCAACTTCACTTTTGGGATTTCTTTGTGTCTTGTTGGTTTGCATATCACCCATAATTATTATTATACTATAATTAATTAATTATAATTAAAGTTAAGTGATATTCATCAAAATTTTATATGAAATTCACATTTATAAGTAATGAATTTATACATAATTTTTTATTCAAATTGAATGATTGTAAAATTATAATAGAAATTATAGGTAAAATAAACCCACTAAAAAACTCTATGTTTGTAAAATTTCCATTTTTATAGTTGTACTCTTAAAGTTTTAAGGAAAAATGATAAAATTTATCACTATATTAGATTGGATGCTCTATATTATTCACTCTACTCTTTTTTTTTTTTACAATTTACCATCCTATTACATTTTTATGCGCAGTTATAGTTATTCATGGATGGAAATAGAAAATTTCTTTCACACTAAAAAATATTCTACTAAGAATTTCAATTACTTTTTTTTATTATATGAAAAAGTAAAAAAAAAAAAAAAAACTGTGTTTCAAATTCCAACTAACAGTAATAGCAATAATTAAATAAAATAGAAATAATTAGATTCAAAATACCAACAATGCTATAAATTTTTTACTATATATTTTATAATTATAAAAAGAAAAACTATTTTATAAAAATATAAAAGATTTCCTCATTTTAACATTAAAAAATCAACTTTATTAATTAAAAATTGTATTTATTGAAGAAAAAACTAAAAAAAAAAACCTTTTTGAGATCCACCAACAACAATGTAACTATACACAAATAGACATTCCAGATCCAACAAAAATAACCAAACTATACGGAAATATCCAAGATTGAAAGCAAAAAAATAAAATAGTTGCTCCAACCAGAATAACCAAACGCAAAGAAGGAATTTCTACAAAATTAAAGACAGAAACCTCACCATCTAAGAAAATATTGAAAGATCAAAAGAGCTTAGAACTGGTTTAAAGAGATTGAGGAAGAGAGTGAGAGAGAGGAGAGACGAAGAGAGAGAGAGAGAGAGGCTTGAGAGGAGAGACAGAGAGAGAGAGGTTTCTAATAATTTTTTTTTTTTTTTTGGTTTCAAGGGCTAAGCGCCCAAACAACAAGAAGGAGGGAGAGATCCCAGCCTTTATGTCTTCTTTGCCTTTGGTTTCAAGGGCTAAGCGCCCAAACTACAAGAAGGAGGGAGAGATCCCAGCCTTTATGTCCCAAACAACAAGAAGAAGGGAGAGATCCCAGCCTTTATGTCTTCTTTGACTTTGGTTTCAAGGGCTAAGCGCCCAAACAACAAGAAGGAGGGAGAGATTCCAGCCTTTATGTTCCCAAACAACAGAAGAGGAGAGATCCCAGCCTTTCATGTCCTTCTTTGCCTTTGGTTTCAAGGGCTAAGAGCCCAAACAACAAGAAGGAGGGAGAGATCCCAGCCTTTATGTCCCAAGCAACGAAAAGAAGGGAGAGATCCCAGCCTTTATGTCTTCTTTGCCTTTGGTTTCAAGGGCTAAGAAGACAAACAACAAGGAGGGAGAGATCCCAGCCTTTATGTCTTCTTTGCCTTGGGTTTCAAGGGCTAAGCGCCCAAAGAACAAGAAGGAGGGAGAGATCCCAGCCTTGTGTCTTCTTTGCCTTCGGTTTCAAGGGCTAAACGCCCAAAAAACAAGAAGGATGGAGAGATCCCAGCCTTTATGTCTTCTTTACCTTTGCCTTCATGTCTTCTTAAGTCTTGCCAAGATGCTAAAGACAAGCTTCTAATAATTCGTTTAAGGAGAAAGATGGTGCCGGTGCATTTATTTATAGCTGGAGAAGTTATTTGAGCGCCTCTTTTAGACTAAGAGCAAGCATCTGTTTGTGAACATTAGAAAGAAGGGCGTGGGGCGTGGGGCGTGGGGCGTGGGGCGTGGATGTGAGCTCCCAACAAAATATAGGTGAAAGTAGCAACACTAAACTGGTTTTGACTTGTAGGTTGCTAACAAGTAAGGGGCGATGGTCCAAGATGACATTGGATTTATTATTATTAACTTTTTAAGGGGATGGATGGCCCATATACAAGAAACAGGAGATTGCTACTGGCTGATATTCTCAACTTTCAAAGTCAAGGTTCAAGGGTTCACATACGTTTAAATACAACTCTTGCTTGCAAGAAAATTGGGCTGGGTTTGGGGCCTATAGAAATAAGCATCCAGGAAATTAAATTCGATCATGACAAGCAGACCTGGCTAGTTGATAATGAACCCACAAATGCAAATAATTATTATTCAGCCGTTGCTTGGCTAATCTAGTGATTGATTTTTTATAGCCCATTCTTTGAACCACGTACTATTTGCCACTGTGAAGCCTTGAAACGTGGATACTCAAGTCTTGCGTTCTGTACTTTTGTACTAACTAAATTCTAGTTTTTTTTTATTAATTACTTATTTTAAAAATAAAAAAACTGCGTCAAGTCATTAAAGCGTGACCCTCAGGTAGGAAGAGCGACAATAATACCTAATAAATAGGAAATATAAAATAATTATTTGTATTGATTTATCTTCGAGAGATAGAACCTTGAAATTATAAAAGAGAGAGCGATTAATAATAAAAGTTAAGGATGATCATAGCATTTATATTTCGACACTTAATTTAAAGATCAATCTAGGAAAGAAATAGAAAAAAAATAATGAAAAAATGGTAAAAGCTAAATAGTTTAAGGGTACCTGAAACATGGTAGGCAAGGGGTCTTGGATAGCCTAGGCTACTCAAAGTTAGCCTTAAAGGCTAGAAATGAGTTGATAGGCTTAAGTTAAGCTTCAGTTGACTACCCATTTAGGATGTGACAAGTTAGCATCTTGAGGGTCTAAAATATGGGTTGCTAAGGTGGTCAAGCTAATATAAATATATAAATTCAGATCAACCTAATACGTCAACTCGATCAAAATGACTAAAATACCTCTGATTATTAGCTCATTTATATTAACATAGAAAAAGTTTATTTTGCCCTTTAAACCTAAAAATACATCTAACATTCTATTCTTTCATCAAGTAGTCTAAGGTATCGGACTGACATTGTGAGATCGATCTACTCGGTACATCTTGTGCATGACTGAGCCGTTAGTTGAGAATAGGTTTAAAAAATTTTATGGAATAGTTGTTCTAGCCTTACCTAGCCAAAATGATAGGTGACAAGTGCTGATGTAAACAAGATATGGCATTATTTAGGTTTATTATGACTGACATATGATAGTATACCCGACATCATATTTGTAATATCCACATCTAATTTGTCATCTCATGATATCAATGACCGACGTGACACTATATGGCATTTATCCTTTATAATGGTTCATAAAAAATTCGATGTACTGTAAGTGTACAATTGATGTGGCATAGTAGTAGAATAGATTATGTATAATGAATTTTATGGTGGAATGACTGATGTGCCCTTCATATAGTTTCATCTAAATTAGCATTTATTTATGAGAGAAAAAATTTAGCAGTTAAGTGTATAAAGGCTAAGAATGTGAAAGGTCATACTCAATAACCGTTACAATGACGTGACTTAATTTAAGATGTCCATTTGATCCCTGAGTTAGCTACATAAGGGGTTTTCTAAGACTTCAATGTCTCATTTTATAGACTTATAGCTCTCAAGCCAACCGGATTTAACTTACCTCAAATATTTCTAGCCCTCTGTTGTCTAACCTTTTTATTCTCTAACTTTTTCTTTTCCCTTTCATTATGTCTTTTAATTCTAGCATGTTTGATAACTTTAGAGTAGAAGTAAGGGGAGGTCAGCTTGGCTATAGAGCTTTTTGTTCAAATGATCATGTCTTTTTTGTCATTATAAGAAGGAACTATCATTGAGTTACTTACTGTTAAATCCAATGTTTATTGAGGGCTAAAAATATATTGAAAACAATGCCTAAACAAAGGGAGAATGACTTTATCATGGATTGGATGAGCTTCTTGCTGTAATTGATTTTGACCTCAAGAATCGTTTAATCCTAATAATTATGGTCAGTCTGGCCTTTCTGGTTAATCTTCTTTCCTCTTCTTCTATTTCTTTCTTGATAATCCCTATCCTTTTAATCTTTGTTACCTTTTTTTTTTTCCAATAAGTCAATAATCCAAGTTCAAAGTCTGACTCTAGTTTGTCTTTTAAGTTTGAGGAGTCCTTTGACTCCTTTTTAACTTTTTCTTTTTTTAACATGGTGAAAGTCCCTGCCCCTATGTAGATTCAAGTACCTGTTTTTCTTTTAGAAGCTGAGTAGCCAAGCAATAAGGCTTCTAGAACCAAGTTAACACAAAGCTTTAAGTCGATGAATGGATTCGACTAGGCTAAAGAGAAGGGTAAAGGTGAAAAAGAGGCAGAAGTTGCCAACAACAATGATGATAAAGACTTCCCCTATTTTAAACCTCGGCCCCTTAGGCATAACCTTGAAAAAGGTGATAAGAAGCTTGAAGGGTAAGGCCAATCCTGAGAACTACCTTAACTTATGCTCAGTTCATCATATTTTCTCGGTGAAAGTTAAATTTGACTTTTCCACTAAGAGGTACAACATAATAACACCGACCTCCGATGGTTGGATTGCCACATCCTTAGACTCCAATAAAATTTTGGTGTATTAGGAGTCCATAGTGGCCGACCTTAAGTTTCTTTTATATTTTTTCATTATAGAGCTTATTTTATCATATAATTTATCTATCATTGAACTCATCCCAAATTTTTTTCCATACATAGTAGGATTTATTATTCTTTGTATAGAGTTAGGTTTAGTCCCCCTCGTCCCTCTATTCAAGAAATTTTTTATGAAAAAAAAATCATCCTTATGAGAAGAGCTGGTTTTATGTAATAACTTAACCAACTAAAAGAATTTTTGCTAACTGCTTAAGCTCAATAAAAAGTTGGAAGTTTCTCTTTCTCTATATAAAAAAGATTAAAAGGATTTGAAAAATAAATAATGGTCCTAGCGTTTTTTAAGAAGCCTAGGTCAACCCCCTAACTATAGATGAGCTAGGTGCTCGAGATACAATAATAGACTTCTTTAATGAAGAAAAGTTAATAATTGATGCCTATGAACTGACTTGCTCTAGTGTTATTAAACTCTAAAAGCACTCTCTTCAAATCTTCGAGTGCACTTTCCGCAGCTCTTAGCAATGCCTTAATGGATATTTCCTCCTCTCGTATCCTTGCCAATTCAGCTTTCATGGCCTCAAGTGCATCCTGTATTGAGCATGCAAAAAGACTATGAATAAATTTATATTAAAACAACCGAGAAGAGTAAATGTGATTATAAACAATAAAATAGTTGCTCCAATCGGAATAAACAAACGTAAAGAAGGAATGTCTGCAAAATTATATATAGAAACCTCACCATCTCAGAAAATATTGAAAGATCAAGGAGTCTAAAATTGGATTTGAGAGTTTGAGGGAGACAAACGGGAGAGTGAAGGGATGGAAAATGCTCTTTGATGAATAGATCGGAAGGGGTTGTAATCGAATTTAAAGAGAAATAGTTATTTGGGCGCTTCTTTTGCAAACGAAGAGCAGGCCTGATAGAAGCTTTCTTGTTCCTAACATATATGGACGCAGAAATAACAAACCTCGTAAAATTGATTTTCACAAAAGCCAGCAGCTGTATATAATGAATTTAGGGCCCATCCACCCTTCTCTCTCCCAAAATTTTGAGAATATGATTTATTTATTTATTTATTCTTATTATAGTATAAAACTTGGGTCCTTTAATATAAAATTTGGCCTCACCTCTCTCAAGATTATGAAACACAAGTCCCTGAATTTTATATGTTCATTATTATATTTTTTTCACCCCATCAATATAAAACTTGCTCCATCTCTTTTTTTCCCACACTAATAAGTCCATAAGTACAGAAAATGGAATCTAAATCTATAACCAAAAAAAAAAAAACACTGTAAAAAAATTATAACCAAAGAATAATAAGATTTTAAAAAAATAAATGCTAAAAAAGAAAAAAAATAGAACAAAAAATCCCATCATAGATCCAAATTTCGTCCCAAATCCCATTTCTATCTAAAAAATACAACCAAAAACAAATAAAAATCAAAGACTTTTATGATCTCGTATCGTTTTATTATTATATGAAGTTTTTTGCCAGAATTTATTATACGAATTTATTAATTATTCTAAATATATGGCATTCATGGATAGGATTTAGTTGTTAATTTTTACAGTCAACTTCACTTTTGGGATTTCTTTGTGTCTTGTTGGTTTGCATATCACCTATAATTATTATTATACTATAATTAATTAATTATAATTAAAGTTAAGTGAGATTCATCAAAAGTTATATGAAATTCACACTTATAAGTGGCAGATCCATGCATAATTCTTTATTCAAATTGAATGATTGTAAAATTATAATAAAAATTATAGGTTAAATAAACCCACTAAAAAACTCTGTTTGTTTGTAAAATTTCAATTTTTTATAGTTGTACTCTTAAAGTTTTAAGGAAAAATGATAAAATTTATCACTATATTAGATTGGATGCTCTATATTTTTCACTCTACTTGTTTTTTTAATGCAATTTACCATCCTCTTACATTTTTATACAGTTATGGTTATTCATGGATGGAAATAGAATATTTCTTTCACACTAAAAAATATTCTATTAAGAATTTCAATTAACTTTTTTTTATTATATGGAAAAGTAAAAAAAAAAAAAAAACTATGTTTCAAATTCCAACTAACAGTAATAACAATAATTAAATAAAATAGAAATAATTAGATTCAAAATACCAACAATGCCATAAATTTTTGACCATATATTTTATAATTGTAAAAAGAAAAACTATTTTATAAAAACATAAAAGATTTCCGCATTTTAACATAAAAAAAAAATCAACTTTATTAATTACAAATTGTAT